AGACAATTATTACTAAATTAGGATTCGAGTCCCTTTACGTTGCTAGCTCTGGTATATACCGTTAGTATTAGCTTGGACATCACAGAGATTTGTTGAGTGTATTTAGCAGAAGGAAAATAGTGATTAGAGAACCTAAAGCGGGGTTAAATGGGTTGTTAAAGGGATGCAGGGTAAAGTTCAAGAAAATCGATCAGGAAAAGAAATAGAAAATCAGAAGGTGAAAATGATAATTTGGAAGAATCAGAGAAAATGAGTTGATGAAAGCAGGATATTGGTTAAATAATAGGGCCGAGTTATGAAAAATTGCTTCCACAAAAAAATACCTTTAATGTTTGAAAAGAGCCAAAGTTTGGTATTTTCACTAACATTCCCTTGGCTAACAGTTGCTACTTCACTCTTCCAATCGGCTTTAGTTGTCAGAGAAAATATTGTGTTCCACACTCGACAGCATTGTAGTATACGTATTCCACTTGAAGGAGGAATGTGATCAGTAATTGAGTCATTAGTATAATTGGCTCCGAAAATACAAATGGAAAAACCATGATAGTAAATAAAAATAAAATAAAAGTTTCCATAATTAAATTCCGCAAATAATAATTATTTTGGTCATCATAATTCCGTAATAGTAAACATAATTGGCTACCCGTAATTCAGATTAAAGATGTAAGCCAAATAAGTCAGTGGTTATTTTAAAAATATTTAAAGATTAATCTAATTTTTACACCCCGCACCTATTTTTTCGCCAAGCTAATAACAACCCACGATTCAGTCAAAGCTGTTATATAGAGACTGGTTAAAATTTGGCTTTCTGAATGTTAAGCTATAATTTTTTCACCATTATTAATAACTGGAACCACTTTTATTTAAACTGCCTCAGCAGAATGAAAAAGTGTACAGTACTGAATGTCTATGTTCTTTACAAAAAGAATCAGCTAATTAGTCACGTGAACAATCGGTAATCGTGAAAATAATCAATAAATCGCAGTTTAGGTAGATGAAATTTTAAATAGTAAAGTTACCTAACTTTAAACCATCACAACTTTTTTTATTAAATAACTTTCTATTACATTATTTTTCATTCTAAAAGATTGTAAAAATAGAGAGTTTTTAGTGAAATCACACATAATTAGTAAGTATCAGCATTTAGAGATTGCAACATTTTGTAATGTCTTTAGATGATCGCTATTATATTTCGAGAATCCAAAAAAGGATTTTGTTATTTCATGAAAAATAAAAGCGTTGTAT